TTTGAGCATATACTTTTCAATTTGCACTCATCATGATGTAGTGGCAACTGCTTTGTTATACCTCAAATCTTGTTCACTCTGTTGCTATTCAAGTCTTGTTGTTTGGCAGGAACACCCAAAAATGTGTAGCATGCTACACTACTAGTATAAATCTGTCCAATCTGTTTTCTTTCAACAGGTGACAACCTCATCAGAATCGAATTGCTCTTCTCCATTGTCGCTTTCCCCTGACAAGTCATCAGCCTTATACAGGGTGGCAAGTCTTGTTGTTGTTTGTTTGTTGTTTGTACATAGGTCTCAGGGCTCTTCTTCCACGAATAACTAGAAAGTTTCCCATCATGAGAGAGTATCGACTAGTTGAGATCATGGACTACTATGAATGTAGATGGGAACTTTTAGACTGTCTATCAAGAGGCCACTGCAACAGCCTGTTGCTCTGTGTCTTCTGGTGGATGCCCTCCCCACAGCAGACAACTTGCAAGAAGGTGGTGCCGTACTAGCAGATATAACTAAATCCTAGGCCCATTAACCCAGTGGCGATGGTGTCTCTCATTGCAGTTGCAGTCGATCTTGTGTTGACACAAACCATTCTGTCGGTCTTGGTGTTCAACACAGTGAGAGGTGCTGCAATGGCAACGAGTTGATGGATAGTCTTCACGTCCTTAGTGTCCTGTGCATTTGGAGCAAAGAGGGTGTCCACAACAATCAGCTGTAATGCCAGAAGGAGTTCAGAGTCAGGACAAAGGTTCTTCGCTGGATCATCGTTGATGAAAAGAGCTTTTGCTGCCTGGAGTTCCAAGGTGTTACCAAAACAATTTTCGTAGACTGGTTCTGGCTGGTGCTTATCGTTGACGAAGATGAACTCAATCGCTTCCAAGGGACTGAAGTCGTCGGGCTTGGACATGTTCCAAAACAATCAACAGTCGATGTGTGAATGAGATGGGAAATGCAAAAGGGAATCTGATGAGTTCAGACTCGTATTGCACTGGCAAGGGAGTATTGGTGTTGTAGTAGCTTGTTGGCGCAGATAGACAGTAGCGTTACAAAGGGCTTTATAACCTGTCGTACTAGCAGATATGACTAAATCCTAATGCAATGCAAATGTAGATGAATGAGAAATAGTGAGCTAGATAGAATACGGTAGATCTATGGAAAGTATGGTGACTGTATGTTGTATGGTGAACCAGGATAGACCTTGCACAACAGGTGGCTACTAGCCAATTCTTGCAGGTTGTAGAACAGAGTCGGAGAGGGAGTTGAAAAACAAGCATGCTTGCAATATCTAGAACTGGCAGCTCTTTTATTTTGTCTTCATATTTTGGAACTTTGATTCAGCAGCTGCCAACTTCTGCTTAAAGTAATCCTGAAGTACAGTAGAGGTTAATGTAGTTTTGGACTCGGTGAATTACACACTTTTTCAGTGAGAAAAAGCGCGTCAACATATGAGGGTCTGGGAACTATGCCTGCAGGCGTGGGTGTGCCGGCGATTTACTTGTAGCTCCACTCGGCTGGAATACCCGGAAGCAAAAAATCCGCGAGATGCAGAGAACATCATGACAGTCCAGTAGTCCATTGTTGACATTGCACATCCGCCATGGACAAGAAAAATGGCCACACTTACCCCGCACATAGAATTCGTGCTCACGATTACCTGGAGTCTTCAAGCCAAGAGCGGTCAGAAATGAATACGCTGCCAGAATCAAGATCCTTATCGCAAACACCTTCCAATCGTGATAAACAAAACAAGACAGCCCGTTCATCATTGATGAGTCCAAACGACGAAGACAGACCGATGAAAGCCCCAGCTAGAACTAACTCTTTGAGATTTCAGAGGAAAGAAGAGGATAGATATGAACAGCTCCAGATGAAGAACTCGGTTAAAGTCCAATCGCAACAGTCAATTGATTCTTCGGAGAACTGTAGTGTTGTTGGTATTATTGCTGAAGAGTTCTACGGTCGAAACAACAGAAGACATAAACAAACTTTCCCAACGATGGAGAAACATACGTTGACAAACGGAAAATCCATGAATAGCGGCGCTTCTAGGATGCGCGATGACGAACGATCGCAGGCATCTTCAGCCGTTCCACCACCTCCAGTTTTACAACAGCAGTCACACTTTAGTCAACCAGGTGCTTTCAGAATGTCTGTCGGTGGCCTTCCACGATCCAGCGATTTAAGCTTAGTTGCCAACAACATGCCATCATATCCATCTCATCAACAAGCACACCAGGCTCTTGTGCCAAACGAAAGTGAAATGGATGACGAATGTCCCACACACCCAACTCCTTTGAACTTTACAACTAGTACGGGTACGCATGTGACTGCTGCCACAGCAGTCACTGCTAATCCAATGGCAGTTGTGGAAGCCGAGCCGATTGACAAACACAGGTTGCGCGATTTTTTGGACAATGGGAAAGTCAAGCTTATCATATGTCTTCTGGTTTCTTTTTTTCTTCTGTTGGTAATGGGAGCCGCGTATTGGCTGACAGGATTCAATGTGAAGGAATTAAGGGCTCCAGATGACGTTGTTGATGGAACACTGGCCCCAACGTCGCCTGGTGATCTAGACCTAAACTATTTCACAAGAATCGCTCTCCCCGAAGACACCAGATCTGCACTCCGTAAGGCCAATTCACCACAGTCAAAGGCACTGGCCTGGCTTAAGAACAATACTCTACTGGAAACATATTCCTTGAATCGCAGACTGCAGCGATTTGCGCTTGCTGCCTTCTATTTTGCCACTGGAGGCGATGGACGGTGGAAGAAGAACGACGGTTGGCTCTCGGACGCATCGGAATGCAGTTGGTACAATACTTCGATGGTGGATTCATTGCCATGTAACGGAGGTATTCTAACGGAGTTGTCCCTTCGCGAGATGAATCTTATTGGAAACATACCTAACGAGATTTCAATACTTTCTAAGCTACAAGTTCTCGACCTGTCCTCGAATTTACTAACTGGGGTAATTCCAACTCCCGTTGCGGACATGTATGCGCTGCAAGAGCTCCGTCTGTGTAAGTTCGCCAATATCTAGAGCGATTTGTGCAATGTCTTTCTCTTATTCTAACTCACAGAGCCACATGGCTTGCTTAGTTGACAACTACATTTCTGGTGAAATTCCTATAGAGTTGTACAGAAACTTGAAGGAGTTGGAAATTCTAGATGTTGGTGAGTGCTCATTGTATTGCGGCAAGACCAAGTTGAAGGACGCTCGACTCACCGTAATTTCTCCTTCGAAAGGCTACAACTTTCTTGCAGGTCAAGTAATTGACATCGGACACCTAACCAATCTAAAGCAACTCCACCTTGACAGGAATTTGTTCATCGGGCTGCTTCCTGCATCAATTGGTCAACTGAGTAAACTTGAGATTCTTTATCTCTTCGGAAACGCCTTTGAGGGTACCCTGGATAAAGTGTCAGTGTCGTTCAATCGAATGACGTCGATAACTCATCTAGGAATTGATCAAAACCGTATTCATGGAACACTCCCAGGATCGCTGTCCCTCTTGACGAACTTACGCTCATTGACGCTGGCCAACAACACATTTACTTCCACAATTCCAGTGGAGCTGTACAAAGGTTGTAAGGACATTGAGGTGTTGGACGTTGCTGACAACTCCTTGTCGGGAACACTTGCCTCCGACATCCAGTTGTTGACAAATCTACATTCACTATTCATGGAAGGAAATCGGCTATCAGGAACATTGCCTACAGAGGTTGGGAATTTATCAAACCTTAGATTTGCTACCTTCGAAGGGAACCAAATGCAGGGTACAATGCCGGGCGAAGTCTGCGATCTTGTTTACAGAGGTTTTCTTCCCCCAAACAACTTGACGGTTGACTGTTCTCTCGTTGAGTGCTCTTGTTGTGAGATGTGTCTGACGAGTGAGATTCAAAACATGGGAAATCGATAGTCCAACCGTAGCTAGTAAATGGATAAGTGGATTATTAGCTAGTTGTTTTTGTACGAAGGGTACTTCGCCTTAAGATCACTTAGGTCGTCGCTCTCCTTGAATTTGGCAGAGAAAGAATCAGGGAACTTCTTTGCTTCCTGAGCTATAGGGTCACAAACAATATTTGGTCCATTTACTTCAACCATTCCCATTACAAGGCCAACACCTAAAGCTGTCATGGATGCAACATCGAATCTTCGCGTGAAAAATCCTCCTAAAACCATACCCGCAGCAGCACCGGCGAAAGTCGAGTTCCAAGGATCCTTTTGATGAGAGCCTTTCACCTCTTCCAAGAAAGACTCCACTCCAGCGTAAGTTACTCCTACTACAGTAAATGCAACAGCTGGTCTCAATAGTGTGTGCGTAAGATATTCCATTCCACGAGACGGACCTGCAGCCACTGTATTCTTATGGGAGAAGGCTAATTTGTCGGGATAATAAGCCCAATGAAAAGTGCCATAGGCAATACCAGCACCAACACCTTGAAGCTAGAATAAAGAGTGAGTCTCTTTGAAATAGAGACAGTGCTAATCATTGAAGTGAACTGCTTACCGTTGCATAGTAAGCCTTTGCGCCAAAAGGTTTCAGCCCATTTGAATTACCAAGGGCTTCTTGCTCCTGCCGATATTCCCAGAAAGAACCCGGCATGTTTCTTCTTGCTTTGATTTGGATTGCAATGTGCACTACCGGTACGTTACCGGTCCCACAGTGAGGAATGTGCAGCACTTGGTTGACGTACGAACAAGACTGACAGACCTTGCTGGATCGAGGTACCGGGTACCGGTACCGGTACCCACTCTGTAGTAATCGTGTTTTGAGCCTTTTTTAGTTTTTATATAAAAATTTGTTTTGTCTGTTATAAGCATAAAACATGGTTACGGAGGAACGAAGTACAGACAGTGTCTGTCATGCGACATAAACATGATTGCTACAGACCGGTACCGGTATTGCAAGAAATCAATGCGGCAGCAATATCGTCTTGCGGTCAACCCACCCAGTCTGTCGGTCGCACGTAAACGAGCGAAGGCAAACTGCAGAAAAATCATCCTCCGTTTTTTTTCAAAATTTCACGTCCGCACCATAGTAATATATGTATCATTGTTTGGATGATTTGTCACCAACATATCTCCAGCACAATGACAACATTCCGACCACGCCATTGGAAAAACGGGGTTCCTTTGCTGACTCCAGCAGTGCCTCGAAGATGAAACATCTATGTGTCCAATCATCTTTCGGCTTCTCCATCAACCGAAGACGATGAAACAAATCCTTCTCTCTGCCAACAACCAACTGAACAAGAACAGGATTTTCTAATCGCGGTCAGTTCAATAGAGTCACTGACCAAACCAAAAAATCAAGCTAACCGAAGTCGCAACGACTGTAATTGACAGATTTCAAAGATGTCGATCTTGACAGTGTGAGGAAAACACGGATGATGTCAACACATTCAGAAAAACCTTGAAGAGGCTCCATGAAAGGGGCTCACCATGCTTTCCTCTCCGCAAATACTACATAACAAACAATGGTGTCAGATGTTTCAATACGAGGAAACGAGTTTTGACTTCCATTGAACGATAAGGCTCATTTATTGACTGCACAACACGGCCGTACGTCCCTACCCAAGTTTTTCATCAGTTGTATACTAAGAACTGAAACTGTAATATTTAGGTGGTCAACCATCATTAGTCGACTCACTAATGATAGACCAATCTTTAGTGGTCTGAGCCAATCACAGCTCTCTATCACTAATGATGGATTCGACTAACTCTTCCACACTAAATTAGTACTCATCAAAAACACATCTTACCGCGCCCTTCACAACACTTCCCCAAAATGCATTGAACTTGATGAGACAACAGCAGCAACAGCCAAGTACGCCATGAAAGGACATGCACGTTCACAGAGGCCAACCCTTGATGATGCACATAAGGGGAACATCTCAAAAGGAATGAAAAGAGTGCATGCAGAAAGAAAAAAAGATACAAACCAAACCAATCTTACTGCCTTCATGAACTCCTTGTACGCCAATACTCGCAACCGGAAGCTGAAGCCAAGGTAGCTCAACATTCTCATGATGAAGATGGAAGGAATACTGATCAACAAGTGGTGGAGTAGGTGGTGGAGCAGGTGGTGGAACAGCCTCCTCCCAAGTTTGTTGAACAACATGACAGCATGCCAATATTTCGCAATTTGACATACTTGATGATGAAGAGTTGGTTGACAAAGATCTCAATACAGAGAAAGCAACTGAGCGGACCATCATGCGCCGGTATCTTGAAGCTATCCAAAAACGGCTCATCCATGAGCTTTCATACAAATTTCCCATAACCGGAGAAACATGGCTCCTTGACATTCTGAAAAGCAATGACTGGTGGATCCCTCAACACAAATACAGTTTCATCTGTAAGAAGCTTGCTATCCAGTTCGAAAAGGAAAAAAAAGAAGTGGCATACTTCAGAAAAGTTTATGTTTGGCTGCCTGATGTTAGATGGGGTCCCTCCAACTTGCATGCCGGCATGTGGCAACTGTGGCTCCAACAAAACTGTTGGGAATAATGGCTTCCGCAACAACCATTTTGGGCGCAGAGTAGTTGCTCTAGATCATGACTACTACTGTGTTTCAAGACGGTATTGATGTAAAAACTGCGAGCAGAAGGCAAGAGATGCAAAGATAGCAATTGAACAAAGTGCTGCTGTAAACAATATTGCAATCCAATTCTCAGATGAAGTAATAGACAAGTCACAGTATACATTCCTGGCATGGAATCGTAACACACTTGAGCTGTACCCACATGGTATTGGTCAAGAGTTCCCTGCATTTTTGACCCATCGGTCTGGAGTGGATTGTCTTCTTCTGGACATCACGTGCCCTTTTTTTTGACAAAGGTCTACGGCCTGGGGCCCTTGCAGACACCATTCTGGAACTTCATGCAAAGCGGTATCATCAGGAATGTCTAAAACACGAATGGGGACTAGCAAAGACTGGCAATGTCCATCAGAAGCCTCTGCTTTCAGAATTTGGGGACAAAACAAAGTACAATGGATTGGTCCCAACAGGAAGGTATCTGATGCACATATACAAGACCTTTCACAGCACCATCAAGGACTTTCTCAACACTGAAGTAAAGAAAAGGGGCGCCAAATTTATTAGTGTCAATGCCAGTTACAAAGAACCAAAACATCTTTGTCAGTATCATGGGCAGAATCTTTTTAAGGGCCTGATTACTATCACCAACAAAATCGGGGAAATCCGGATGCAATTTCACGTTGTCACTGATGATCATGAACACTTTTGGCCATCTCTGCTTGCTTTCTTGAATACACTTAAAGCATACGGCCGACATGATTTGGAGCTTGTGTTCACTGACAATGTGCATGCTGATCGGCACTTTTACTTGGACACTTTTCCTTCTTTGTTGGAAGCTCAAGGTCGGCTTGATATTAAGGTGACAGATGGCACAATGCCCAATGAAAATGACATCAATAAAGAAAACACTTGCACAGTTGATGACACTCAAATTCGTGTGCTTTCAAGCAAAGGTGCTATCAACGAATTTATCACAGCACTTGAAGAAAACATCCAAGGCAAACCACCAGAGGATCAAGTAATAAGGCTTGATGCAGAATGGAATGTCCTCACAGCAAGCCATGGAATGGGAATGCAAACTGGAAAGCTTGCCCTACTAATTTTGGCATACAAAGACAGTGACAGGCGTCACATGGCTGCTCTATTGAGACTTCATAAGCTCTCTTCACTTCCGGATCGCTTGCTTTGTTTCTTGGTTGGAGGAACAAAGTTTTCTTGGGAACCATGTTGGTGGGGAAATTTGAAGACTAGGGCATGACTATAAATGCAAAGATGAGATGAAGAAGGTTTTAATAGTGAATTTGGGGCCGTATGCAAGAGAAAGAGATGTTGTCCAGAGCGGTACTGTGAGATTGGACATTCTAGTTCAGATTTGTTTAAATGAAACCATGAAGAAGCAAGCTGCAGTTTGTGTCTCAAGCAAATGGGAAGATCCTTCATTATCACACGACCAAAAGCAATATGCAGCACTGGACGGGATCAAGTCACTTGATTTATCTCTACCTACGGGAGAAACCAGACCCTTCCCTCCAGCTATCAGAGAAGGAAGCAAAAGTTGGTCTTTGTGTTGATATTGCACCACTTTGCAGAGGACCTACTAGTATGGTTGCAACTAGGTGCGGAAGTGCCACATTGACCGAACAATCCTTTTGTGAATGGGAAGTGCCATCTGGTATGCGACTCAACACTGGCCAGATTTCGACTTGAGGTCAATACTGTGTTGTGGACGTACTCTCTGTCCTCGCACCACATTACATTGTGCCATATGTGAAGAAAGAAAGTGGGGAGCCTGTTTGTCTTGCTGACTTTGGGGCTCCTTCATTCCTTGTCATTCTACCTTTGGCCATGTTGAAGCAGCACTGTTAGAATAAAGCAAAATGTGCTCTATCGTGAGTGCCTTTAGCGCTCAGAACAAACTCTCTGCAATCTAAATTCGTAATCAATTGTACAACACTTTCACGACAATAGTTCTCCTGTGTCTAGGTAT